CAATATGGGGTAAACAAGATGGAATTTCAGAGCAGATCTCAGGAGAAAATCGTTAAGGAATATGCCTGGAACCAACTCAAAGGAAATTAGTTTACACGCAGAAAAACAAGTCATACACGGAGGACAGGACGAAAGCTGAGCTCAATGCAAGGAAGATACGTAGTAAAAGTGCAAACCTTCGAAACGACAGACCTTGAAAAGAGGTTCATATTAAGAATCAGCAACTCAGAAGAACTGATTGCTCATCTCAGCGATGGAAATGAGGGGACTGCATGTCTTTATTGCTGCAGCCTGTTCTCAGTGAGAGAGAGAGAGAGAGAGAAAGAGACTCTCTATCTCCCTCTCTCTTTCTGAGCATATGCAAAGGAAGGAACCTTTGTGTGTGAGTTCTGACATTACATACCAAATCTTTATATCGTGTTCCTTTTGGATTTTAAATAATGTAGGATGTTCCATTCAAACCTTCCACATTTTATCAGATCTTAGAACAGAAAGTATGAATGGTAGGAAAATGAAGCTGCAGGAAATACAGGAACAACCAAAAAAATTGTATTTGACATATTAATAAACCATTGGCATCACGAACAATATCCAATCTGTATTCAATTTCTTGCCACGTTCTTTCCAACATGACCATTGGTACAGTAGCAATCGCTTTACGGATGCGGGCTCGTAAATCTGGGAGTTCATTCACTGGAGGCACGAACACACGACCTTCACGTAACCCCAGGGGAAGAAATCGAGCGGAGTGAGGTCCGGTGAACGTGGTGGCCACGGAATTGGTCCGCCATGTCCAATCCGGCGATCTTGGAAGGTGACATTGAGGGACCTCCGAACATCCAGACCCCCAATGTGGGGTGGGGGCTCCATCTTGTTGGAGGAATATGTTAGGTTGCAGATCGGCTATCTGGGGATACAGGAACTGTTCTAACATGTCAAGGTATACGCCGCCAGATACTGTAGCTTCACCGGAGAAAAACGGAAATAAAATTCTTTGAGTTTTTCTTTCATCTAGTGTTAATTATAATCCATAATTTATCACAATTTGTTCGCAATGATTAATTAGAATGTTGGAGGTTTGAACGGAACACACTGTATTTTCTTAATTTGTGCTTTTCTTATACTAGTGCTATACCTGTAATGATCTGAACTTTGTCCTTCCTCTAAGGAGGAAGTACTTGAATTTAGAGTATACTCCAATTTCAACTTAAAATCGTAAAATATTTATAAATTTGGTTTTGGAACATTTGACTCTTCCACTGAGGCAGAGGTATGTAATATTATAACCTCCCCAAAAGTAGGTAATCTGGTGGCCTAAAACAAGGGGATTGACTCCTTTTAGTTTGGGGATAATATCTTAAGTGACATATTTAAATAGGCGATTTTTTCATTCTATTGTGTTTTGTGTCATTAACAACACTTTCATGCAATTTGCACATATTTTACATTCAATTTTGCTTAGTAAAGTGGCTTCAGAAAAAAAACTCTATCCATAAATTAGAGTATGTACTTGTACATATGTAAGACAAATATAATATTGATAAGATATATTTAAAATATTTTCAACTATATCCTTGTAGAAACTCACTACATCATACATGAGCACCTTTATTTTCGGGATGAACACATCTGATTCTGGACCCAAACAGGAATGGATAAATGGTGGTAACGGTGTTCCCTGGGATACAGTTGACGGTGGAATAACGCGTGGCTATCCAGCGTGTTATTCGCTTCTCTTTACAAGAGGTCTTCTCTTCAAAATCTCTACAAGTTTCGTGTCTCCCAAATTTTCCTTGACATTAACATTTTTGCGATGAAGCTTTGTTAGCATACGGCAAGTCCTTTAGGACAGCCGCTTTGAAGTTCTGGTTGTATATTCAGCTCCTTACGTGGAGTTGGTTACATCCCGGAGGGGCCATGCCGTGGTGACAAGGGGCTCACTAAGATGCTCTCATATATGTACTCTCCATGGAAACGAATCAATAAACACAAAGGTCGTGGGGTCCGGAAACGTGGGAAAAGGAGCAAAACCTGTGTACATTCTGTGGTTTGCATGCATAATGACACTGCCCAGCTCAGCTCTTGGGAATTGTACTTGCGTAATTAAGCAGCAGTAAGATATAGGATACACTCGTATCAGCATAAACCAAATCTCGTTATCTGTATCTCCTAATGGCCTGATGCTGTGTACGCCGGTATCTTCTAACCTGTAAATCTCCCTGCTAAGTTACATTCCTGTGCTTCACGACCCGCCTTCTGGAACTCTGCACTAAACTTGATATCGTTATAAATCTTCGGAGAAAGGTTTGGTGTAAAACCATATGGTTCCGAGTTCTGACACCGTCTAGTTTTGTAGGATGAGTCAAACGATTTGGAGAACTATACTGTCCCAATCTTTCGGATGGAAGCAAGCAGGATTAGATAACTACACGACCGAAAATCACGATTGTGACACAGCATAAATTTATGGCTAGATTTCAGCGTTTTGGAGGAAACTGCTGCTACAACTTTCAGGGACGAAGTTAGTAGGTTTAAAGTCTCTACTTCTTACAATCACGATTGTGACACAGTCTGGACTTGTAGCTATATTAAAAGGTTTTGGAGATAACTGCTGCCTCCATCTTCAAGGTCGAATTGATCAAGTCCAAGCAGATTTACGACTAAGAGTCAGTCTGTCTTGGCGTCAAAATTCTGCATCCCGAGAGCTGCAGTATTTGTCGTGTGGGATGTTAACAGTGACGAAGGGAAGATTCTATCATTACGTCTCAGACACGGTCTAAATTTTCTGTATATAGAGCAGTCTCTGGAGGTTTACATTTATATGCATATGTACAGCTTGTGCAAGGCTTCTGTCAATCTAACATTTTCACAGGAAAATACGCTTTATTTTACTTAGCTTATGCTACAACTGCAGCTGAACAGAAGTAAGCTTGGCCAATTTTAAGTTAACAATTTCGTGTGCAAAACTAGGATTTGGGTGTTAATATTATGAAGGAGAGTCAATAAATAGGTCACAAATAGATATAAACGTAAAACATTGTGATATTTGAACTCGGAAAAACATTTATTTCTCGACATATCCCCCACCAACACTAATACACTTGTATAAGCTTTATCAGTGCGTCGAGAACCGCAGCATAGAAGTCTTTTGACTGTCGTCTCGGCCACTTGCTTCTGTCGCAATCTCAACAGGACAACCTGGTCAGTCATCATCTCGGACTTTCGAACGTCCTTGAGAGAATTTATCGCCTCAGTTGTGAACTGCTTTACGCGACAAACATTTCCCACCGTAAATATGAAACTTGTCTTTATGAATGTCCTTTGCATTGAGTCCTTTACCCCATAAATAAAAAGCGCACAGCAGAACGCTACTCTTCGGTAGTACACTCAAGCACAGTTGCCATTTTGACTACTGAAACCAGCATCCGAACATGCGCATGCACGTCTGCTACCTAGATTGTCATGAAGCTGTGCTCTCCCGCTATATAGCGATACACATAGAAATCGTAGTATACACCCAGTACGGCTGTTTTACTTCAACTTTTTGACCTATTTACTGATTCTCTCGTACATTTCTGAACCCTTTCCATCATTCTGTTTTTATTTAAAACACAGCGTTTCGGAGACTGGATTCTGTCTCCGTCTTCAGGTAAAATCTGAGTTGTACCCATTCGAGAGAGCTAGTCCCTGTCTGATTCGGAGATCGGGATTAATTCTACTGACTGGCCCCAGCTGAGTAGGTTTTACCTAGAGGCGTAGACATAATCCAGTCTCCGTAACGGAGTCTTTTAAATAACAACAGGACGGTAATGTCCAGAAATATACAATTTATATTAATGCACCATGGTCACAAAATTTTACATTTTGTTTAGGATCTGGATGGTTTGTATAAGAGGGGTGGCATGTATCACTCCAAGGAGTTCAGTAAGACTGGTCCACCATACCCGCAGAAGGGGAGACGAGATACACCCTTGCCCAAACCAATGGTTACGGAGACAACGTGTAGAAATGCTTAGGGTCACTACAAATGGAGAATCCTTCATTCTTGGCTTATTTAAGGGCTAAACTTGCGGTTCTCACCTCTAGCTACGTTTTCCGCAAATAAACCTTCCAACCCTACAGAAAAGGTTTGAAGTTGTAATTTTACTGAACATGCACGCTTTCCAACATTCTTCGACAAAGGTGGAAAGTGTAATATCGACTGAATCGTAATACATCTGACGTTCATTTCCGCTATCATCTTGTCATATTTTTTAACTGCTATCAATGAGTCATATTCATGAATAACACATGCAGAAAATCACAAACCTTTTCTCGTATCCATTTTTACAGAGCGCACAGGCCCAGTCATAGCACGAATATCGAGGGGCTGAGAAGGCACAAATGTATCAGTCGGTCCCGGTCCCTGATTCGAACTGGTGACTTCTCATTGTGTGTGGGTTATGCCACTAGTGTGCTGAGTAACTGTTGACAGGAGAAAATGTTATGCGGGTAACTTATTTGATTCTTAATTTAATCTAAAGACGATTTTAAATGCAGGTGTTACACGGCATCAAATGAGTGTATAAGGATTTGTAAGGATGCTGTAATGCTGTATTTGAAAGTACTACCGTCGTATTCAAATGGAGGAACTGATTAGAACTACTATAAATATCATCTGGAACAGCCTGCAGCCCGACAAGATTTCAAGCTCGTTATCTCCGAAATACAAATCTTTCGTCACAATTTTGGAGTCTGCCTTAATCCATTATTATGAAAATTGTAGATCCTTACTTTGACATTTGAGGATTTTAAAGGCAACTGACTCATTAGACGAATTTTTCTCTGCATATTATTTCCAGCAAGGAACGTAATGAAACTGGAGTTTCAGGTCAACTCTCGTGTTTCTGCCAGTAGATGCATCCCATATCTTGTCTTCTGACAAGAGGCAACCACAGCTGCACGCATGCCCGGATCAGGGCAGAGTAGGGAGCCGGTGTGCGCTTTGCCATCTAATTTAGTCAGTTCCCGCGTGGTTGCGGACGGCAGCGCCGTGAGTTTCGCGTCACGCGTCATGTATTTGTACGACTAACTTCTTAGTTCCCGTATAGTCACAGAAAAGAAAGTACGATGGTAACTGACGTTACTGGTGAAGATGACCAAGGCCCTCAAAGGAGCAAGTCGACGGTGAATAATCACCCATCGAAAGTTATCTTCAAATCACCGTTTAGAAGTACAACAAGTAGTTCACAAGTGTCTTTCTCGTCGAATATTAGCCTGGTGTACGCGTGTCTGGTGTGGCTCTTGCTAACAGAGTTGGTGCTCTCGTACTGTCTCTACACGTACACAGCACATGTGGACCGCAAGTGCACTTCCGCTGTTGCCACTGCGACGCAACAGGCAGCGGCAGCAATGGCCGCAGCCGCACAGACCAACCCGTTTCACGATTTCGAATTATATCGCCGCAGGAAACGCCGTGCCAGGGCATCTCCATCTTCAGTTCTGGAGGACAACACGGTAAACCCGTCAGGTGTGGCTGGTGCCGAGGGTGCGAATGTAGAGTTCTTCAACCCTAAATTGCGTCAGGAACTTGAGGAGAAAGACATGCATGGAAGCGGCAAGAAGGCCGCCCCCGGATCGACGCAAACTGAAGGGGAGACAGCGAACAATCCTTGGGTGTGGTTGACATCGTATTCAAGGATACCGGTGAGTAGCAGGCTGCATACTAAAATAAGCATGGCAGCAGAAAGAGGAATTCACCTCTGGTGTCCTCAGAATGATGCGAGTGCAAGGCGAGGCCAGACACAACCCTTGGATGTGGCCGACATCCTACCCGAGAATGCCAGTGAGTAGTATCTTTGTTATTGGGATACATTTGGGGACACAAGAACAAGAATACAAACTCCGTGTTTTTAGTCCGCACGCGAACTATACCGACCTAGAGACCGCCGCTTGTCGGCGAAGTTAGTGCCAACTTTAGCGGAGAGAGGGTGTTGCGTGGTCAGTGCAACGAATCCCCACAGCCGTTAATTTCGGGTTTCTAGATAGGAGCCGCTATTTTCTTGAAATAGTTCCTCGATTATCCTCACGAGATTCCAGACCCACTACTTTTCAGAAAAAATCTGGTAGCGCCGGGTATCGAACCCGGACCTCTAGATCTGTAGCCAGGAACTCTGACCACTAGATCACAGAGGCGGTCTTGGGGACAGCAGGAGGATGGAATATCTGTCGCCTCCGGTGAGATAGGAGGGAGGGTGGAGGGGGAGGCCGAATAGGAGCATTGGTTGAGGCCGATATTTTACACGAGAATACGGGTAAGTAGCCCTTCTCTTTCTGGATCAAGCCTGGGGGCGCAAAGAGAAAGGGAACGCTGCCTTCGGAACAATGAGAGAGGAAGAGGAGGCCGCAAAGAACCCTTGAATCTGACCGATATCATAACCGAGGACACCGGTTGTTAGGATAAGCCTGGGGGCGGAAAGAGATCACTGCCGCCTCCAAAGCAATACAAAAAGAAGGGGAGGCTGAAACAGCCGTTGAATGTGGCAGGCGTCAAAGCTAGTAGAGTATTAGATGACAGGAAATTCTATGAACAAAGAGCTGTTATATCAATTATTCCAGAGGTAAGGTCCTATGGTGGTATGAGGGTTTGAAATGACAGCAGAATTTTTTCATTTTATAAATAATCCGAGACGCTAACTCAATATTCTTGTGTAGTAAACAGTTATACAGGACATTCTCCTGAGCCAGCTGATCTCGTATGGTAGAATATCCTGAATTATTTCTGCTCGATAAGTTCCTGGAACAAACTGCATAAAATGAACGCATAATATAATGATCACAGTGATTCTATATTTAGTAAACTCTTTTGAGTTACACTTTCATATTCCATAAGTAGTTTCATTCTGTTTATTCTTATTCGAAAAATATAGTCCAGGGAAACACCGACAATAATTTAGAATTACCCTGTACATTCTTTCCGCTTGGCTGTTACATTCATACACACACAGAAGCCAGATATAGCTATCTCACACAACCCATCATGCAGCAACAAAAGTAACTCATAATTCAGATTTTACCCGCCCTTTAAGGGGTTCCTTCCTTGCTTCGAATCCAATTTGAATCTAACTTGATTACAATAATCAGCATATACTTGTTTCGTACAAAGTTCAAGAAATGTTAGAACCGATCCGAAACGGGATGTATAGGTTCTGTTTGTTAGAAGTAAGATGCAGGTCATGAATTGGTTCAGTTTAGAATTAAAAATGTTTTTCTCGCTTTGGGGTTTATAGCTTGTTTTCTATTGCTACCAAATCGTTTTACTGAAGGAGTCCGTGCGCTCAGAGGGAGAGGCGCCACGTCGAGACGGAAACCATAACCCTCGGCTCCAAGCCACCCACTGTCCTGCAAGATACAGTCTTCAGAAAGATTCCGGGGAAAATGACAGCAACTGACTCTTGATGTTGAACTCGGAAACAGCCGAGTGTTCGGCGCAGAGTATTGCCTTAGACCTTCGCGCCACCTATACGTCTCCTAGGCAATTCCGATTCTAAAGAGCACCTAATAATTTCTAGATCACATCAACCGCAACAAGTAATATATTTTAGCAAACGTTCCCTTTCTTTCTCAGTCGATCAGTATTATTCCAGTTGCAATTAATCTGACTTTTCGCAATTACTATATCGTGAGAGAAACGTTAATAAAGCAATGGTCCTTTATAATGAAGTATAAGCTAACAGTGAACAGCGGTTTATTCGTAAATTTCACTTAGTGGGGGGTGGAGTCCAACTGGGTCCACTCGGCACGGAGATCACTGATTGGCCTATTGTAGCCTGCATCGGGTGATGATGATGGAGAATTTGGTGGAACGAAGATTGGCAGGGGAAACCGAAGGATTCGGAGAAAACCCGCCACAGCGTCACTTTGTCCACCACAAATCCCACTTGACCAGACCTGGGATCGAACCCGGGCCGCCGCGGTGGGAAGCCAGCGACTAACCTCTTGAGCTATGGCGCGGCCTACGGCTTATACGTAACTAATCAACCTTCTACACGTCACCTTTCTCTCCTCCATTTCGTCGGTTACGTTGCTATCCATTTCGCTCATGAGCCCCGAGAACTCGTGCTTACCGATGGGCTGGACGGCGTGCTCTGAAGCTAACTGCCAGTTCCGATTGGTAACACAGTGTTGAAGTTGCCCCTGTGCTTAACTAATTAAGCACTATGCCATGAAGGCTTGTGAAAGAGGCGATGTATAGATCTACGTTTTGTGAGATGAGTGGTCAGTTTAAAGCCCCGGCCGCTTTACCTCCGGTACCCATTGGATAGAAGGTTGGATTGTCACCAGAACCGGTCTGAACGACCGGAATTTCTTGACTCTACCGGGACTCGAACTGTATGTAAAGGTGTAGTTGGTCCTGTGCTTGAGTAATTAAACACTACACCATAAAGGTGTATGGGGGAGCGGATATATAGATCCATATTTTCTTGACCTCGGCACTAGGTAGAGGTAAGTGATCAGTTTCACGCCCCGGCCGCTTTACCTCCGGGGAAAGCACCCCCGAAACCCATTGGATAGGAGGTTTAGTGAACCCCAGAGCCTGTCTGTACGACGTGGAGAAGAGAAAGTTCTTTACCTTCCCGGGACTCGAACTCCGACCCCTCGGTCGTCCAGCCCGTAGTTCGTGGCTATATCAACTACGCTATCCCGGCTCCCTAAAAACTGTATGTAGGATTCTGAAAAGTGAAAATCAGTTAAGGAGGGAGCGGTTACAAAATTCGTAAGTTCCCACAGAATAGCACAGTACCTCGCCCCACCTCCGCCTCTTCCTTTCCTTGATTTCATACTTACAATGGCGAAACTACTTGCAGGAAATATTATTGGTTGGTATGATAGTGTCTGACATATACACGAAAACTTACTGGGAATTATGGAATATTTTTAATAGCTTATTTGGTGTTCTCCTAACTACTTTATTGCAAATAATGAATTGAGAGCGACGTGGAAGAAACGATTCTGATATATTTCATATGCTGTCCAAGATTTCGCCTGAGGATATGGAGAAAAACAAGAAAAATATTAGAAGATTCGTCTACTGAACCGAGATTACTAAAACAAAAGGCGACTTTTGGTGAGGATTTGGAGTATGACGCAAAATCTCTGTTGTCTGATTATCCCGAAAACTCTTAGACCTAAGGAGAAAGCGCATCGGAAATAAAAGGAGTTTCAGTTTGCACTGAAATTTTTATTCACTACATTTGTCACCCGGATACGTCTTCGGCAAGTCTTGCGTAAGCTGTACGCGAGATCGCGCAAACACACTTATTTTCGCGCGTAAAGTGTTCGAATTTAACAGAAGTTAGAATTTATCAACAGATTATATTGAAACTAGGAGTCGGGACAGCGTCAGTATAGCGACTGGCTACGGGCTAGAGTACCGAGGGGTCAGAGTTCGAGTCCCGGTAGGGTCAAGAATTTTCTCTTCTCTACGTCGTCCAAAACGGCTCTGGGGTCCTCTCAAATTCCTATCAAATGGATACCGGGACCCCTTTCCCCGGGGGTGAAGTGGCCGAGGCGTGAAACTGACCATTCACCTGCAGCTAGTGCCGAGGTCAAGAAAACGTAGATCTATACATTCACTCCACTATACGTCTTTCTGTCGTAGTGCTTAATTCGTTAAGCACAGGGACAAATTTTCCTCTTTTATATTGAAACTCCCCAAGAACAAACTTCATTAAAATTGGTTCAGGGTTTCTGGAATTATTATAGGTGCATTTTTGCATCATCGTTACGAGCGCGCCGAAAGCACAATACATTAAATGGGAATTGAACGGTACTCTTAGTAAACACGTGCGACTATTCATCGTTGAATCTCGATTTTAAAATTAATTACCTCTGAAATATTATCATAACAGGTTCTCTCCTATGACTGCTACATGGCTGTCTTCTATCATACTCGCGATTGTTTAATAATTTAACTAATGATCGGTGCCCTTTTTCCATTATTTGTGCAGGAAAAAATATTTTCTTACGCTCCACTGCAGAACACATTCTATCCAACTTAAGAATCTAGTAACCGTTTAGCTAGTTAAGAAATTCTGTGCTTATTATGTAGCCCGGAATTTTATTTTAATGCTCATAAGAAACCTCCACTGTTCCTCATCAGGGCCAAGTGAAATGAGGTAACATCTTCACACGCCAATTTTTTAGATTCATTTGAATATTATCCTTTCAACTATGCCAATCCAATTGAACCCTGTTTTAAGCCTTTCCGGCTAAATATGTCATGCATTTCTATTTTTCCTAAGAATGTTACGTAATGCACTCATCTCATCCATCTACATGTGATCCTCGAATTCAGAGCTCAGATTATGGAGCGCCTCATCCAACCATTTGTTCCGACCTCCTGTTTTTTCTCTCACCTTATCCTCAGCCACCCTATTCTCAACACCATACATACAGAGGATCCGAGATCATCGCAGTGGTGATTATGAGGAATCTTATCTTTGGGATATGACCCCGTCTAGTCCGTTGAAAGCCAATCGGCTTTTCCGAGGACTACGTCACCTCCAACTTCAGGCCTGAAAAGCAACCCAAATAAGAAACTGCAAGACACTGGCATGAAGAAGGCAGCAAAGAGAGCTGCTTCATCTTGGATTAATGCTTGGCTTGCTCTTGAACGCTGAAGGCGAAATGTTTCATCGAAAAGT